ACAGATACTATCATTGATCTGACCCTTCTTGCCTCATAGAAGTTAGCTAATTAGGCTCTGACAAACTTTTGTGACAGCCAAAAAAACTCATCTAACTTATGCTCTGACATTGCTGGGGAGCTGTTTATCTGTTAAAGCACAACCTAGCTCAAGAAATCTGGGGAAAAAAACCAAAGCCACTCTAGGTTGAGAAAGGGTATCCCAAATTACCTACCAGCTCCTGCTCCCCTCCCCTCAGACCCCGGCCAAAGGAGCACAAAAATTTCACTATACCAGATCATATCAAAATACATAATATCACTATATATGTTTACCCTTAAACCCCTTGGAGTGACCAGCATCTAATTTCTCCACATAATATCACCTCTGAATCAAATATTAAGGTCTCAAGAATAAAGGAACTGATCATCAACTTTAGAAGCTCTTGATTGTTAAACAAATTCTCCTTGTCAGCAACTTTGAAAATGTATAGAGAACATTATGAAGAATATGCATACCAATGTTCGGGTGTGAAGAGTTAGTGCATTTACTTGTATGCATTTGTATGTACATACCCATTTGTTTGTGCACACAATTACATTTTTGTGTATTTTCAAAGCAACAGTTATTTCAAAAGGCCTTTAACTCTTGAACTTACAAGATTTCATTTCTAGGTAATTTTCCTTCCTGTCTGGCATACAATTCATATGATGTTAGTTTGGAGAATTTGGAATTGGATCAACCAATAGTCCCCTGATTCATATTATTCTTTATTATCATTTCTTGTCTGCTTGATACTGTGCTGATGGTGTAAGAAGAAATTCTCTCCTGGTCACTAATGGGACTTAAAGGGTTAATCCTTGAATTCTCATGAGTGTCAGAAACAAAATCTTTTCAAAATTTCTTTCTTACAATATCAATAAAATATCAAGCAGACAACTGATGAGAATAAAGAAAAGCATCAATTAGCATATTACTAATTGATCCAATAACAAATTCTCCAATCTTACATCATTTATAGCAGACAGCAAGAAAGATTACTACTGGAATCTTGGGAGTCAAAGGGTTAACTGAGCTCATAGGGTAAGATCCAAGCCTTAGGCCTAACCTTTTATTTGCAAGGTATGTATTAAGGAAACTTTTAACCAAAAAAACCCCAACACAAAAATATAGGGACAGCAAGAGGCTTAGCTTCAAGCCTTAAATTATTGCTGCACAATTATTACCTATCAGTGTGTTACCAAAAAATTTGATACTATCAATTGAATCTAACTGCACACTAATGCCATAAATTTAATTGTCAAGATCATTTATTAAATAAAAAATTTGAGAAGGCTACCAGATTAACTCTTTACACCCTAACATCAGTATCAATATTCTCCATAGTCTACTCGATTCATTTCCCTTGATACTAACCAGGAGAATTCATTTAACAATCAAAGCTTCTTTCTTTATAATACAGTAAACACCCGCATATAAGAACCTAAAATTTTTGGGTTCAGGCTGAATGGGTTCTTATATTTTGGGGTAGTTTTTCCGAACTCAGGCTGATTAGGTTCTTAGTAGGTTCTTACAGATTCAAGTCCCAAGGCTACAACAGTATAATTTTATACAGTATTCTATACTCTGTATTTATAAGATTTTCAATTAAACAAATAATTTTCATGGTGTTTTTCAGAAATTTCACAATTTCTATCAATTAAAATCCAGTATTTTGGCTAAAAAATAAGAGTGTTTTTTGGTATAAGAACCTATTGTTCTTTGCCAGCCTAAATAGGTTCTTATATATTTGGGTACTAAAATGCCCAATTTCAGCCTGTAGGTTCTTAAATCACTAGGTTCTTATACGCGGGTGTTTACTGTATGGTGATCATTTCCTCTACTCTCATGATCCTACTTTAAATGATTCAGCATTATTACTATAACAGGAAATTAAATGCTGGTCACTTCTAAGATTTAAAGGGTTTAGGCATGTCTAAAAAGTGTAATTTTTTATCTTGCATATCACCAGCATTGGAAAAAAAAGATCATCTAGGTTGTTACAAAATCATAATTATTATCAATGATCAATTTCATTTTTTCTTTCAATCATAGCTTACTTCAAATACATATCTTGCGAGATCAAAGTGAAATTACCTCTGAAAATTATAATTATACAATATTGTAATGGAAATAAAAAGAAAGAGTAAACCTTGTGTATTTATTAAATTTCTAATTTAATCCTCATATTCTGCAAACTTCTGTTGGCTCACCTGACTCACACAAAGTACTTCAAAATTTTTATCTACAACAGACTTCTTCCATCTTTGATCATTCTCATCAAAGACTCTTAAGTTCAGAATTTTTCTCACCCTTAAAGAGAAAATCACCAGAGCATCATTCAACAGTTTTTGGGAGGAGAGCATTGTATTATGATGAAAATAAATGAACTTCTCCTTGACAGCAAAATGATTAAATTGTTTATTTCTCTCACTCTAGGTTTATATTGAGGAAAAAAAATACTCACATATATTCAATGTCTTTGGGAGTGTCATACTTTGATATTCCCAGTAAAACACAGAGTCCTTTTCCAATGGAACTAATAACTTCACCATCAACTGTCAAATGCACACAAATTGAACAATTTTAACAAAAAATGCTTTTTAAGTACTCAAAATCTGTTGTGCCAGTTGACCATCTACCAACTACCATTGCAGAGTTTGTGAACTATTGACCTATATATTCATTAATCAAAACTATAACAAAATTCTTGGGTGTGACTGGTTATCACCAGCCTGATAGGACAGTGTACGTATCATGCTTGTAATTGGATAGAGTAATAAGACAGTTGACAAGTCATGCCTGTGTGTGTGGAAGGTAAGCATCTAGTATGTGCACTGTTGTTGGGCATTTTACCAGGTTATCCTTTGTTTTTGTTTTTGTTTTTTTTTAATGAAAATGTATAATCAATGTCTAATTTCTGTCTTGAACGATATCATAGTTTTGGTTAATTGGTAACTCCGACTTTGCGTCATCTAATTGTCTGTAATCATACTCGTGATCAAAAAATTAACAAATTGGACAACAAAACAGACTCCTGCTTCATGGTTGTCTGATTTTGTTAATCACTCATGATTACAGACCAAATTGGATTCCACTCGGTCTTATTACCATTGTCAATCATCAACTGTAGCCATGGTGCATGTAATACATATAGGAGATATGTGACACTAAAAAAAAATTAATAATAATAATAATAATAATAATAATAATTACAATGAAAAAAAAAAGAAGTGTCATGACTTCCATTATTCCACTGATAGATGGCCAGTTTGTCTAAAAAATTTTGGTGTTATAAAATCCACTCTACTCACAGTAGGTGTAAGAAATGCAGATCATGTGTGCCATAAGACATTTTGTTTCCTATATAATGAGATTTACATTGTAAAGTAGTATCATTCATGTCTCTGATCAGGCCAACACAATATTTTAACTGTCCTTCACTTTCAATCTTTGAGAAAGAATCTCTGTCAGTATATATGGAAAAAAAGTATCATACCACAGTAAGTAATTGAGCAATTCTAATTCACCCATTGCGATGCAACAAAAAACTCGCACATTTGCTGCACTCACAAATTTTTTTTAATCCATCGCAATGCCTGAATAAATTTTTTTGGTGCACATTGTCCATGGGATAATCTCTGTGTATCTATCCATGGTCAGTCAACATGACAGTTTGTAATTTGTCTTAACTTTTTGTTCAGTTGGTCAATAGGTTATCACCTGTTGACCAATAGTTGGCTGATGCTCAAGTATCCTCCACCCTAAAGGATTTAGCCTGTTAATTTTCTCTAGGCCACAACACAATATAAACCTTTCTACAAGTCCTCCGAGGAAGGATGCAAAAAGGAAAATCAGCTGGAAAGGCCTGCCTAGCAGAGATGAACCTGTTTACTTCCAGATCAAATTTGTAATTCTCCTTACTGTCAACAATACAATTCTTATAATAATAGTTCAGAGAATTTAGTATTGGATCCACTAATTATTCTCAAATTGTTATTTTTCTTTATTCTCACCTCTTATCTGGTTGATATTGTTTTAATACTGTTAGGAGAAACTCTCCTTTGGTCACTCATGGAAGTTAAAGGGTCAAAGATAAACCTAAAAATGACCTAGTTACCAGTAGGTGTTCAAAATCTTTTAGCTTCAAGGCTTTGGAGACGGCAGCCAGAAACACATCTAAGGTCACTGATTGGCTAATCCCTGGGCTGGGACTAGGAGCAAGCCATTTAAACCGTAGGATGCCTTGCTATGCTTTTAAGCCTGCAGCGCAGGCAACTTATTAGGTTGAGTTAACTTAACTAGTGCGCAATTTTTAATCCATATGGCTGTGGTTTGTTTGGAGTCAGAGTGCATGGTGGAGGTAGGGGGCAGGGAAGGGCACTCCCCCACCCCACCCCTCTTCTTATTTTTGACTGTCGATTGCCCCCTCGGTACAAATTTCTTTCTCTCCCCAGCCTTTCACTGCCATTAAAATCAGAGATGGTGGCCATAATTTTCGCTAGGGAAATAGGGAGCACTTCCTCGCCAATCCCAAAACAATAAATGATGACTGGAAAGACTGTGGCAGCTAATTGATAGCCTGACACTGACTACATTCACCCTGACAAAAATCTACCGTTCTCCTTTAAACAATGCAACTTGAAAGGAAGGCAGGAACGAGGCATAATTAAGGTGATGCAGTGAATTACACTCTTCGCTCGATGAGAACTGAACCCTTAATTAAGGAAAGTTCTTTTTTCCGCGTATAGAAGTGAGAGAAATCTGCAGAACTGAGTCCAAGAAAAATTATAAGCAAACTGATCTAGACAAAAAAACCTTACCAGAAACACTTGCCTGTGTGACACGCTGAACAATGGCTCTCATAAGGATGAATGGTAAATAAAAACTCTAACGATCGCGAATATGTTATCGCAAACAGACATCTATAGGAAATAATTCCTTCCACCCAACACAAATCGGTACAGCCGTAGCCTCTCACAAAAGCATGCGTAGCACCTGTTTTATCCAGGCTATTGCTCGGCCATTAGTAGGTCGTAATTAACATAATTTCATAACCTGGGTGTCTTTATTGATGTCGTTGAGATATGGCTTTTGGCTTGTTCGTGGGAGCTATAGCTCTTTGGTATCATGTTTCTGCTTTCTGTTTTCTCCTGAGTTACTTCGTATCGCAGTTGTGATCAAGTCTGACCGTACAGAAAATTTAGGGTTACGACGGTGAGGGTTGTTGCGAAAATAGTGTTTTCCCGTGGACAATGACACGATTCTCGACAAAGTTCTGGCTATTTTTACGATTGCTTCGATGCAGTCCACAGCGGTGAAAACTTCTTCCTTGGAAACACCGATCAAATTCGTTGCAGTGACAAAATTTTACTACTAGAGCGTCGAAGCAACACATGAATTCTGGCATTAGAAACTTTCTCTCGTAGGAAAGCATTTCTATGAAAGAAATTACATCTAAACAAAAGGCCTTCCTTTTGTAAACATTAGCGGGCTTCAATGGGGATTGTGCTTCCTTAACCGAAACTTTAAAGGAAATGGCTAGATGAGCGACAATCAATTCTACGGATCCATACTTGTTCAAGACGTTCTGTGGGTTATCTATCATCTCTCAGCTGTTCAAGAAGAATTTTGCGTTTGAATTATCAGAAAATGAATGCGTGGATGAATTCGTGTCAACTATCGCTGTAACAGGTGATTTGGACAGACTTCAAACAGAATACGCGACGTTATTTGAGGGAAGATATTGTCGAAAAACCTTTCTCCTCGTATTTGTTGAAAATTTGCGTTAGTTGAGAGGAAATATTAGTATGGAGTTGTGGAAAAAGTACTTGATTCGGTGGCGTTTATCTTTAAGTCGTCTGCTGTTAGGATTTTAGATTTTTTTTATCATTTGCGTTTCTGTAAGCGCAGCGACTTATTCAACTTCAGTTGGTGCGACCTCTGTGGTTGGAAAAGCCATTTAAATGCGCGACGCAATAAAATTCGAACAAATGATCGACGTGAATGTGTGATAAATATTACTAGATAAGGCACGCGATTACAA